TTTTTTGGGGGGGGGGAGGGGGGCGCATACATTACTTTAAATAATATTCAGGACATATTCACAATGAGGTGACCGCAGGCACATGGAGGTGCAACGACGGCTTAAAGTGGAGCTTTCATCATCCTCTCTCCTTGTGACTGGATACAATGTCACCACTGGGGGAGGGGAGACTGAGGAAATACTTCCTCCTGCCTGCAGCAGACTGATGACATCTCAGCCCAGGCAAAGTCACTGACGGCATATCAAGGTTGGCTACTGTATGACCAATGAGTGGAGCTCACCAGTGTGATATTCATCAATAGTAGCGCTGGAGAGTTTAACCCGCTGACAGTCTCTTCTCTCTCTTCGGAACTCTATTGGTGAAATCCCTGTGCCCATTATGAGGGGCCCCCACCATCCCTGTGCTGAGTTCCCGGGTCTGTACCCCCGCTGTGCCCATTATGAGGAGCTCCCACCATCCCTGAGCTGAGTTCCCGGGTCTGTACCCCCGCTGTGCCCATTATGAGGAGCTCCCACCATCCCTGAGCTGAGTTCCCGGGTCTGTACCCCCGCTGTGCCCATTATGAGGAGCTCCCACCATCCCTGAGCTGAGTTCCCGGGTCTGTACCCCCGCTGTGCCCATTATGAGGAGCTCCCACCATCCCTGAGCTGAGTTCCCGGGTCTGTACCCCCGCTGTGCCCATTATGAGGAGCTCCCACCATCCCTGAGCTGAGTTCCCGGGTCTGTACCCCCGCTGTGCCCATTATGAGGAGCTCCCACCATCCCTGAGCTGAGTTCCCGGGTCTGTACCCCCGCTGTGCCCATTATGAGGAGCTCCCACCATCCCTGAGCTGAGTTCCCGGGTCTGTACCCCCGCTGTGCCCATTATGAGGAGCTCCCACCATCCCTGAGCTGAGTTCCCGGGTCTGTACCCCCGCTGTGCCCATTATGAGGAGCTCCCACCATCCCTGAGCTGAGTTCCCGGGTCTGTACCCCCGCTGTGCCCATTATGAGGAGCTCCCACCATCCCTGAGCTGAGTTCCCGGGTCTGTACCCCCGCTGTGCCCATTATGAGGAGCTCCCACCATCCCTGAGCTGAGTTCCCGGGTCTGTACCCCCGCTGTGCCCATTATGAGGAGCTCCCACCATCCCTGAGCTGAGTTCCCGGGTCTGTACCCCCGCTGTGCCCATTATGAGGAGCTCCCACCATCCCTGAGCTGAGTTCCCGGGTCTGTACCCCCGCTGTGCCCATTATGAGGAGCTCCCACCATCCCTGAGCTGAGTTCCCGGGTCTGTACCCCCGCTGTGCCCATTATGAGGAGCTCCCACCATCCCTGAGCTGAGTTCCCGGGTCTGTACCCCCGCTGTGCCCATTATGAGGAGCTCCCACCATCCCTGAGCTGAGTTCCCGGGTCTGTACCCCCGCTGTGCCCATTATGAGGAGCTCCCACCATCCCTGAGCTGAGTTCCCGGGTCTGTACCCCCGCTGTGCCCATTATGAGGAGCTCCCACCATCCCTGAGCTGAGTTCCCGGGTCTGTACCCCCGCTGTGCCCATTATGAGGAGCTCCCACCATCCCTGAGCTGAGTTCCCGGGTCTGTACCCCCGCTGTGCCCATTATGAGGAGCTCCCACCATCCCTGAGCTGAGTTCCCGGGTCTGTACCCCCGCTGTGCCCATTATGAGGAGCTCCCACCATCCCTGAGCTGAGTTCCCGGGTCTGTACCCCCGCTGTGCCCATTATGAGGAGCTCCCACCATCCCTGAGCTGAGTTCCCGGGTCTGTACCCCCGCTGTGCCCATTATGAGGAGCTCCCACCATCCCTGAGCTGAGTTCCCGGGTCTGTACCCCCGCTGTGCCCATTATGAGGAGCTCCCACCATCCCTGAGCTGAGTTCCCGGGTCTGTACCCCCGCTGTGCCCATTATGAGGAGCTCCCACCATCCCTGAGCTGAGTTCCCGGGTCTGTCGAGATCCGCCCAGCTGCGTGACTGACAGCTGGCTCTGCCTATCTAGAGGCAGAGCCACCTGTCCCCGCCCCCTCCCCCATCCGTTCCGCCAGTCAGCGCTGGGGGATCGAAGCCAGGAGGGGGGGAATCCCTGCAGGGAGCCGTCAGTGACAGTTGCCACTCTCTGCAGAGAGATGATCGAGAAGTGAGCGAGTGCCGGTATGTGTTCGCTCACCTCTCGATCTACTGAGCCGACCTGTGACAGTCTCATTGTACTAGAAGCTAGAACTATGAGGAGGAATGATTTACACTCGCCTCATAGTTCTCCTTTAACAGGAATTTCGAGCAAATCTCTCCAGAGGAGCAAAGAAAGCCCAGTCGGGGCTCTAACCCTTCCCAGTCTATTTGATTGGAGGAACACTGTAACTATGTTTCAGAATTTTGTATCATATTGGTGACTTGTTTCTATTGGTTACTTAGTTGCAGATGGTTATCAGATAAATACCCGGAGCGGGTTGATGATGATGATGATGATTTCCTGTCCTGTGATTGGTCTTTAGAACTCTGTGTGGACACTTCTGAGCTATTTCCATGTTCTTTAGATTTTCAATGTATTTCTTTTATAGCGCGGGCCTTGTCCTATTTTCGCCCGCCTATCAGTCCACTAGGAAGCGATGACATCACCAGCAGGCTCCCAGTGAATTGACAGGCGGTGTTCCAGTTTCGGTCTCCTTACCGGTGACGGTTTCCCCCAAAAAACCTTTTTTTCCTTTCGTGAAGTGCGCCGGAGGCGTGTCCTGTCCTGGCTTCTTCCTCCTGTCTGTCTGACGCTTCTCTGTCCAGCCTCCGTTCCACGTGCTCAGTGGCGCTCCTATCTCGGTGGCGGGTGATGTGTGTGATCCTCCGGGAGCGCGTGGTGTGGTAGAGATAAGTGTGGTGTGCGGAGATCGGCTCCATCCTCAGTAACGTGTCTGTTGGTTGATTTTTCCAGGTTCGGACATTGCCGCCGCCGCCAGCGCCATGATGCTCTTGAATTCTCCCCATGATTTACACGCAGGTTGTGAGTACACACCTCTGTACACTTATTGGTAGAGACGCACACAAACTCCTCCCCTCCCGTACACTCTAGGTGACACCCCCTTCCTGTATCACCAAACAAAATTCGGAAAGCCTGGACCTCGTCCACGCAGCACAGCACCGCACTCCATGAAGATGAAATGATATCGGGATGCAAGGGAGCCATCTGACATTTTGGGGCCCCTTACACGGCTTTAGGCCGGGCCCCACCGCCGCTGGTCGCAGGTCTTAGTGACGCGCTGGACACGGGACACACCTGAGAGTGACCCTGCAGAGCCCACCATAGATGGTGCACAGCCCATCTGCGAGTGTCTACGGTGGGCTCTGAAGGGGTCTCTGGTAAGCTTGTCAGGGCTGCACTCGCGGAGATCATTATAACCAATCAGAGAGACTCCTTATTAAAGGATCAGTTCACCTGAAACTGGTTTCTCGTGAGTGCGGCCTGCTGGCTTTTTATGTCTTTGGTACGCCACTGCACCGTTCTCCTCACTGGACTTTGCTCCTATAGAGTAATGCAAAGTGCAGGAGGACAATGTAACACACACACAGACACATATATATATTGTATAGATACACATACGCAACATATGGCCAAAAGTATGTGGACCTCCTCCAATGTGGTGCCTCCGGTGAAGGTCCCGTTCATCCTCCATCATACAAAGACATTGTAGACAATGGAGCTCTTCCAGCCTTGTGGTCACAGTTTGGTGAAGACCCTTTTCTGTTCCACCATGACTGTCCCCTGTGTACAAAGCCAGCTCCATATAGACACGGTGTGACCAATCTGGTGGAGGAACTCGAGTGTCCTGCACAGAGCCCTGACCTCAACCCTACTGAGCATGACTGTCCCCGGTGTCCAAAGCCAGCGCCATAAAGACATGGTGTGACCAGTTTGGTGTGGAGGAACTCCAGTGTCCTGCACAGAGCCCTGACCCCTCATCCCTACTGAGCCAGATCTTCTCATCCAACATCAGTAGCTGACCTCATAAATGGGCGCAAATTCCCACAGACAGCCTCCAAAATGTCTTGGAAAGCCTTCTCAGAAGAGTGGATCCGGCTCCATAAAGACAATGTATTACCAGGAACTTGAGTGTCCTGCACAGAGCCCTGACCTGAACCCTACTGAGCATGACTGTCCCCGGTGTACAAAGCCAGCGCCATAAAGACACGGTGTGACCAGTTTGGTGGAGGAACTCGGGTGTGCTGCACAGAGCCCTGACCTCAACCCCACTGAGCACCTTTGGGATGAAGTAGAAGGCCAATTGTGAGTCAGGTCTTCTTATCCAAGATCAGTACCTGACCTCACAAATGGAGCAAATTCCCACAGACACCCCCCCAAATCTTGTGGAATCTTCCCAGAAGAATAGAGGACATTCTAGCCACAACTAGTGGCCAACTCCCTATTGACAACAATGGATTTGGGATGACGTGTACAGGAAGCTCCCGTAGATGTGATAGTGGGGAATTCACAAACTTCGGGTCATATAGTGTGTTTGTATATATATCATGTTACATACATTTTATATTTTGGCTTTAAGTTCCCACTCTACCAGGAGATGATGGGGGTCCTCAATCACTCTGTTGAATATTTTTCCTTTATTTCAATGTAAAAATATTTGGGGGAACCTCACAAATGGGTGAAAATGCTCAATTCATGTTTCTTGTAGAAATTATCATGACAACAAATCAACGTAAGTTTTGAACCTCATTGTAATAATGACATATAATATATAAATATACAAATAATAATATGAGAAGTTTACCTTAGTAATTGGGCGTATTGCACATCCCTCAACGGCCCGGTCATGTGACTAATGTAGAAACTGTTCAGCAGAACTTCCGACTGGTAAATCGGTCCCCCATGATTTCCTGGGAGGGACTACATGACCCCAACTGGTAAATCGGGGCCCCCATGATTTCCTGGGAGGGACTACATGACCCCAACTGGTAAATCGGGGCCCCCATGATTTCCTGGGAGGGACTACATGACCCCAACTGGTATATCGGTCCCCCATGATTTCCTGGGAGGGACTACATGACCCCAACTGGTATATCGGTCCTCCATGATTTCCTGGGAGGGACTACATGACCCCAACTGGTAAATCGGGGCCCCCATGATTTCCTGGAACAGACTACATGACCCCAACTGGTAAATCGGTCCTCCATGATTTCCTGGGAGAGACTACATGACCCCAACTGGTATATCGGTCCCCCATGATTTCCTGGGAGGGACTACATGACCCCAACTGGTAAATCGGTCCCCCATGATTTCCTGGGAGGGACTACATGACCCCAACTGGTAAATCGGTCCCCCATGATTTCCTGGGAGAGACTACATGACCCCAACTGGTATATCGGTCCCCCATGATTTCCTGGGAGAGACTACATGACCCCAACTGGTATATCGGTCCCCCATGATTTCCTGGGAGAGACTACATGACCCCAACTGGTAAATCGGTCCCCCATGATTTCCTGGGAGAGACTACATGACCCCAACTGGTATATCGGTCCCCCATGATTTCCTGGGAGAGACTACATGACCCCAACTGGTAAATCGGTCCCCCATGATTTCCTGGGAGAGACTACATGACCCCAACTGGTATATCGGTCCCCCATGATTTCCTGGGAGAGACTACATGACCCCAACTGGTAAATCGGTCCCCCATGATTTCCTGGGAGAGACTACATGACCCCAACTGGTATATCGGTCCCCCATGATTTCCTGGGAGAGACTACATGACCCCAACTGGTAAATCGGTCCCCCATGATTTCCTGGGAGAGACTACATGACCCCAACTGGTATATCGGTCCCCCATGATTTCCTGGGAGAGACTACATGACCCCAACTGGTAAATCGGTCCCCCATGATTTCCTGGGAGAGACTACATGACCCCAACTGGTATATCGGTCCCCCATGATTTCCTGGGAGAGACTACATGACCCCAACTGGTAAATCGGCCCCCCATGATTTCCTGGGAGGGACTACATGACCCCAACTGGTATATCGGTCCCCCATGATTTCCTGGGAGAGACTACATGACCCCAACTGGTAAATCGGCCCCCCATCATTTCCTGGGACAGACTACATGACCCCAACTGGTAAATCGGCCCCCCATCATTTCCTGGGACAGACTACATGACCCCATTGACTTCATAAAGGGCAGCATGAGTGAAAAAGGGGAGATGCCAAAAGTAGACAACTTAATACTTTACATGGATTTTTTTTATATACAAGTGATAGTAAAATATCTTTTTTCTTAGGAATGTAATGTAACAGTCATGTGACCGCTCTAGTCCCTTTCTTCTTCCTGTGGTATGGCAGTGGGCAGGGCGCAATGGCCACGTAGGGACTACATGTCCCAGAAGTCTGTGTGGTTCAAGCTGCCATAGACATGGTCACTGTGCCATTTGGGCCTGTAGTAAAGACCACTGGCTGCATGTATTACTGAGAACAGGAAGTGGCTGCTGAGCCTCAGTGTCGCGCAGCTGTTCATGCAATTTGGGGGAGAGCAGCAAAGGGGCCCCATATGCAGAACAAAGTGGAGTCGGGGGCCCCTCTGCAGCAAAGGCCAAAAATAAATTGGAACGATTCCTCCCTTATGTCTATATAATGTTCCCGTGTTTATAGAACATGACAGTTCCGGCTGACACACATGTGCAATAATTCATGCTAATTATATATTAAAGCGCGGTAATTGTTAGCTGCGCGGCGGATCGGTAGCCGGATTGATGTATTTAAACTTGTTGTTAATCATGTTTGGTGATTTTATGAGCCCTCGTGTTCACTCGTTCAACGGGTTTGTATGACGCGTGTTCTCGGCGCCGGTTCTTAGGACGGCTGTTGTCGGCGCCGGTTTTTAGGGCGGTTGTTGTCGGCGCCGGTTCTTAGGGCCTGTTCACACGACGTCCGTTTTCTGTGCTGACCGGATCCATACGCTGCTGCACTAAAAATGCATCCCAATGTATCCCCATGTGTTTTATGGGCTCCAGTTCTCACGTGCGCAGTCCGTTCAGCTTACGACAGAAAAATACTGCATGTCACATTTTGTACGGTCAGGAAACGCAAATGCGTCCAAAACGCGTCACAAACGCATTAAAAACGCACTGCACTGCAGATAACATACTAACAGCCCCACTCCAGCCCCACTGGAACGCATTAAAAACGTGGCAATAATGCACTGCATTAGTCTGCAGATCCGCACCTGATCAGGAACAGATATCATGTGAACAGGCCCTTAGGACGGTTGTTGTCGGCGCTGGTTCTTAGGACGGTAGTTGTCATCAGGCCCGGCGCTACCGCAAGGCAAGTTAGGCGGCCGCCTGAGAGCGCTGCAGGGTGAGGGCGGAAAAAATAGTATTTTGACAAGTACTTGTACTTGTCAAAATGCCCAGATGTTTGTGCTATGTTTTTTTTTTTCACTTACCTTCGGTGTGGGAGAGCAGCGGCGAGTCAGCGCTGGTCCGGTGGGAGGAGCTCCAGGTGGGGTCCTAATTTAGCTGGCCGGCGACTGCCTGAGGATCCCGACACGCGCGGCACCTCTGGCAGTCGCCGGCCAGCTAAATTGCCCTGTTTTTACAGGGGTCGGGGAGCGGGGGG